GTAGCTCTCATATCTCAAGAGCAGTCTTGAAAGCAGTCAGTTGATAATTAATTATGACCAGTCGAGGAATTTGTTTTGGGTCTGAGAGACCCTTTCGCGACACATCACCACCAGACGAAGAGTTACAACACCAAAGACCACCGAGGAAAAGGCGAGCTTCTCCCATCCCCTGGCCGTGGAGAAGAAAGTCTCCAGAGGCGAAAATTAAACTTTCCTCTAACCTCCGTTATCAAAGTCGCTCTCTAAGTGATATTTTGGGTCAAATATCTGAAATTGAAGCTCAGAGAGTAAGTTATATCTTCATTAAAAACTTGAAGTCAATCCAGCCTGAAAATTATTTATTGTGTTAATTTTTCTAGATAAAAAACAGCGTGGTTAGTTCGACAACAAATCTACCTTCCTCGCCACCATTATTTGAATCATTGACTATGCCAATAATAAAAAAGCCGCTAAAGCCGCCTATGCCCCAGAATCACATTCATAACTTGGATGAGGAATTGGTTGAACCCGATCACGCATTGCGAGATCTTCGTCTTCGATATCCACGCACATTTACCAACCTCATTGCTAGTTATTTGACCTTCATCGAATTTCACTCCGATGACTTGTTCCGCATCGCTGAAGAGGTGGGCAAACAGGAGGCACAAATGATGGGTAGACGAAAAGGTGGAACCTTCACAGCTTCACCACGCTGCTCGCCCGGCTCTCCCATCTCTAGATCAGTTTTTACCCCCGTTAAAATGAATAGCTTTCTAGCCACTTGGAGCGCCAGCAAAGTCTCTCGAGGTAAGTATTTGAAGTCGTCACTTTAAATCGTAAAGATCAAAATCTCTCCACTGTACTTTTTGGCTGATACAGTCGTTCTTTTTTTAGAGGAGATGACTCACTGGTACAAGGTGGTAAATGTGATGATTAACCACTTACTTGAGGGGAAAAAATGTAAGTTTTTCTGCAAAATATTTCCCTGCTTTTGAGCAAGTTGTGCCGTATTAACGAAAAAATCCTTTTTAGACTGCTGTAATTTCATCTTTCGCCGGCCGGGTGTTCAACGACAAGTCAATAATCTAGAGAAACAACTATTTTGTCAAAAATTGTTCCGCAGTTGTGAAGACGACCCTCCATTAACCGGTTCCGTACCACCATCCATCGTCCTGATTGAAAACTGGCGTATTTCACGCCTTCTTGCCTCCTATAATTCCATCACAGTTGCCTCCACCTTGTGTCGAATTTTGCGGCGGCATGGCCCACTCATTCCCTCGCGATTGCACTACCTCTTCAGCCAGCTCTCCAGTCCACAGGACTGTGAATTTGACATCGGTCTCCCTGCACGTCAGTTTGAAACCGGGTCACCTGGTTATATCAACCGCTGTCGTGCCCTGCGTCTTCTGCTCCAACTCACGCCATCTCGTCATTTGAGTCTTATCTACCGACCCCTCTCTCACCTGCTGGCACTCATCACAATGGAGCCCATTTGTGAGGTGAATGAAGACAGTATTTGCGTTCTCTTCGCTCCCATCTTCCTAATGGACCGGGAGGCCTCCAATCCGGCAGAACTGGCAAATCCACAACTGCAGCAGGTGGTTCGCCTTTTGCTCGAAATCGCCAAAAGTGAAATGCCCTTTGTGGGACAAACGCAAACGAGTTGTTTCAGGGTACCACGCCTGTTTCTAAACGACTGTCGTAGCAACCTCATGGCTCATAAGGTAAGTGGGAAAGTGGGCCAGTACAGTTTGAGCAGTCTGTTTTCAGCATGGCACGTGTTCTAGGGGATGGTACATGAGTCACGAAGCTCTGGATGACTAAAGGGAGGAGAGGAGGGGTGAATTGTGGCCCCTAAAATGGACAAAAAGTAAATGTGCGGGTGCTCTATTCCCCTCCTCTCATCCAATCAGGGGTTTTAAGTGGATGTAGGAAGAATGAATAAGCACGCGAATAGGATAGGACTAATCCCCAAACTCTCCTTGATAGAGAGATGATGACCCACCACTGCAGTGCAGTCTGCGTTACTGTACTCGAAGGCTGCCTAGAGTACCATCAGTTACCAGCTTGCAAAAACCATTGATGGGGACATTGCCAATCTCCGGCACTACCACCCCCGTCCAAGTAAGTCTCTGTGCCATCAAACATCTCCACTTCGAGTACTTCCAAGCTGATTAGTCATTTGATCATTGCAGCAAACAAGAAGAGGTTATCAGCGGAAGCTGTTTGCATCTGCTAAAAATACACCTTCTTCTGCCCCGCTTTCTTCTGCTCCTCTAACCGATGCGACAAATATCGCAGGAACGCAAACCACACCAGTTGTCCTAAAGGTGAGTTACCATACCAGAGGTCAAGATGAGGGAGTAATCAACAAGTGGAAATAATATAATCTTTCTCACTTTCTTCTAGCCCCTACATTCAATGTCTTTCAAGTTCCGAGTAAGGCGGATGTCCCTCGAGCGAGGCCCGCTGAAAGCAGTTCAGCCACGAATTTTAACACCAGTGAACCATAGCAAAGATTTGAAGCCCTGAACACCTTTTTAGTTTGCAGTACCATGTCTGTACATACCTACCAACTCTATCAACCTTCGAGAGGAATCCTATTAATATAATCTATTGACCTACTGACCTTCGCTGTCCGTCTTTGTGGAATAGCTTAAGGCTACTTCCCACCTCCTGTTGCATGATCTCATGTACAAGTCGCCAAAGAGGTGTACCGTTTTTATGTCTCGATAATTGCATATACTAGCTCATTAGGGACTAAGGCTAACAAGCCATGTAAGACACACCGGAGGTCAGAGGTAATTGGGGATTCCTACTTCCAAATATTCACAACCGAGGGGACTAATTTGCCAACCAATGGAATCTAATGTAAGGCCATGTATCAGGTGGCTGAAACAGCGTGGGCTCTTCGATGACTCTGACGTAACTGGCAAGTGATTTGTAAGATGCACAAGAGTGTTCGTAGGCAGGAATTACAAAGCATAGGTAGGTGGGTGTCAAACTATCAATGCGTTTCGCTTCATTGTCTCTCCAACTTTGAATCTACCCTTTCATTCTCAAAATGAATGGCCAATCTTAACGCCATCCACTCTCCTCTCCATACTTTAAAAGCTTACCCCCCAAATCTGTTGTTGTATGCCTGTCTATTTAGATGGAAGACCGTAGGTGCAATTGTCCACTACTTTTGACCTCTCTGCTGAGGTCTAAGTAACAACGAGGACCATGATCCATCCACCTGATAGGGTACAAATCAAGAAAACCTCTTCTTCAGCAACAGCAAGTACTATTCGCTCTAAGATGAGAGTAAGAGCGATACCCCTGATCATTATCCCTCATTTGTCCTTGGAGATATTCCTCCAAGCTCTTAGCATTCAACAATCGGATGATCACCTACAAAAAACAGAAAAAAGGTAATTCGAAGTAGCAGCACCTAGAACTAGATTGCTTTTCTGTCTTTCAGAGCTACAAAGCTTCATGCTCATTCCTCACTGGTAAAATGCTGCATTAACCACTGAGTGGAGATAGGAATTGTGTCGGAAGCGCAAACACGTAAGATTGCATCGCTTCCCTCCTACTTTTATGGCTCAGGGTTTACTCACTGCACTTGAAGATGGCTGTCTCTCTCTCACATCAAAGCAGTGAGGCAACACCCTGGAGCTTTTAATGTTTTTCGCTACAGTTAGTTCGGTCAAGGTACTCCTGCTACCACCTCACTAGTCAACGACCTCAATTTACGATCAACAGGAATGTTTCAGCGTCAGTACGGCCCATCAGGTATGACCCCTTTCATGCCTCCGCCGTCCTCTCCCACGCAATACATCTTTTTTATTGGCCCGCCTAGATCATTCGAAAGGTGAGGAGGCAGTGTAAAGTGAAGGGAGGTGATGATTATGATACATGGGGAGGGGGGCTGGGGTGGAGTAAAGTCATGCAAAAATCCACCTGTCAGAGATTAGCCCTTATTATTCGGTGATGGATCTCGTTTGGACTGTAGCTTATCGATTTGACCCTTGACTTGTGCCATGAAGGCAGGGCAAGGTATCAGGGATATGGATTCGGCCAAATTTAACATGATGTGTTGGAAATGAATTTCAAGGCTGTGTTAAGTGTAAGTGTGTTGGTGAGATGACTTTTATTACTCATGATGCATGTTTTCTCGCCGGATAACGGAGCTTGCGGAGTGCTTTAGGCAGCTGGATAGATCTTTATATCTGCAGTAGGTCCCCTTCCCGGGACACATTAGTCCTCTTTTTATATGATATTCGTAAGAGTTCCCGCGCAATGTTCACTCTACGCTAAAGAATGTCTAACGACTGACCTCTCAATAGGATGATACACACTTCGGTCAGGATGAGAGTGGCCATCTTTTCTTCTAAGGCTGTGTCTTGTTGGGTTAGGGTGATAGGCTATAAACTTTAGAGTTAGCAACTTCAACTATTGACATATTTCAGAAGAATTTTTTAATGAAGCATCAACTCTAACCTGCTTAATTAACCTCCTACACAAAACACAAACCTCCAGGGCACGACAGTCATACAAGGAGCGTAGCCGCAATACGGACAGATTAGTAATGGGGTCAACATCCTCAGCATGGTGTAATTCAGGCTCCAGATTTCTGGAGGGGTGGGGACGGCAACTCGAAACTTGTGTTTACATCGAGATATAATTGGGTCGTGTGACAGTTGCGAGGATCTCATTAGGTCGTTGCCATGCCAAAGTGGACAAGAATGAAAGCTGGCATGCAGTGCGCATCGCCAGAATAACCCACGGAGCCTGTCGTTAGGCCAACAATTTCCTCTCATGGCTCTCATGTGACGTCACTCTGGAAATTGGCTGATGGTCTATCTTAGCTCATCAAAACTTAGATCACGAGAGCCCATTTCTTAATACAAGCTTTTTTTGGCCGGTCATTCATTCAGTTATTCAGTTGAGCAATGTTCTCAAATGTTTGATGTGTTTAACACGCGTCAAAAAGTTATTAGAAATCACTTGTCAGGCACATATGACGTGTAGGTGACACCTATTCGAAAAAGAGAGTTCACGACCGTCGGTCAGAATAGGCGTTCAAGAAGTATTTTGTGACTTACTAAGCCAAACTTGACCAAAAGCTTTTTGGCAGTTGTGACATGGCGCTAGGAGTAGCAGCACCACCACTTTAAGAATAAGCTTCCTCGTAACGCAGAAGAGGTGTGTGAACTTCAGTCATATATGGTAGATGGATCCTAGTTTTAAATGTTGCTATGACTTTACCATAATGAGCAGTTGCGTCTAGAGCCCATCGTTTTGTGGGGCTGAAGCAGTTCAAACTATCGGGTTATGGAAAAAGTTGTTCGCACACCACCATTGATACGCTCATTCGCTTAGTAGATGTCGGAACACAAGAACCTAGTTCTCATCGCAAGTCATTTGGCCGGTCATTCAGTCTGTCAGTCGGTCAGTCAGCCAGTCAGTTATGCAACATTCTCAAATGCATGATGCACTTAACGAAGTGACTAGAAATCGCTTGTCACGCACACATGACATGTAGGTGACACCAGTTCAGTAAACCCAGTTCACAACCATTAGTCGAGATAAGCATTTAAGAAATATTTCATGACTCACCAAATAAAACCCGGTCGCATTTCCTCCCTAGAAGTCCTGACAAGAGATTAGAGGTTCTCCCTCTCTGGCTAAGAATTTACTTATTCCCTGAGCAGTGTGTTCTGCTGTGTTATTCCCCTCGATCTCTACTGTGGGAACTTTTGGCAGCTCTGAGATATACTTTGTCTCTTTTCCTCGAAGCACATTTATCGAGGTCATTTGACAGATACATAATGGAATTAAGAAATATTTAACAGTCCATGGAAGCGAAACACTTCAATGTTGACAAAGCTAAGCGTATTTGCACAGCTTTTACAGCTGCCTACAAATTACGAGTCATTTTAGAAACCATTCATAACTTTCTCAAGTAGCAATATAGCAAACTCTTTCCCTTGTATGTACTCATTACCTATGCTACTTATTTCCACGTCCATTAGTAGTATTCTACCAGCACATTTCTTTTGAGACATCCTTTACCAGCAGCATTAGCGCTTTCAAATGGGCATCATGAAAGGTTAGCGGGAGCACACAACAAACAAACACTCTAGGCAATCGAGGACGTTTTTTAGCGCTTGTCTAGAACTAGTACACAACAGATCAAAAACCAATCGTCCAACCATCCCTACTTGCTTGTCATGGAAAGGTCGTAATTGCGTAGCCATGGCTTGTGGTTTCATGGACAGATGGGAGGTGCTTTGATTGTCCCTCAAAAGCTACTCACCATCTGTCACAGTTAGCTCAAGCTGGGGAAGAACGGGGAGGGAGGAAAAGTAAGGACCGAAACACCTCGCTGTCAGCCCAAATGACTTAAATAGGTCAAAATGGGGCAAAAATTTATCAATTTTCTTGTCTACTGCCTTTACAATAAAAGACCTCGTCAATGAGTGCCATAATGGAGACACCTTATGGAGAAGCGGCAACAACGGGACTTGTCTATCATTAAGTTTCCTCATGGGTCACTGGACCACTGCATAGGTTGAAACTCCAGACCCTTGAGCAGTCACGAATACCCAGGATTGCTTTTATCCGCGTTTCAAAGACAGGTTACGTCAAAATGAACGAGGTGATCACTGAGTCCGAGACATCTATTCCTTTCCGAAATACCAACTGTCCGGTAACCAGATAAAAACCTAAGAATCTACCTTAACATGTGCTTATTCGTAAATAACAGCGGCTAGATTTAAGTATATCTTCCCAAAAAAATTATTCTGGAGAACATAATCAGTAAGGTCCACCGAAGTTTTAGAAACGGAAGATTAAGCATTCTGTGATGGTAATAGTTGATCCGATCCGACCAACAAACACTTCAAGCATTTGGCCCTTTGGAATACTTACCACCGCAACTTGTTATCTTTTATAAAGAAGTCAAAATCCAGCTACAAATGGAGAAAAAACCCAGCACTAGTCACCTCCATTTCTTTCCATCATAAGTCCATTATCCAACTGTCTTCTGCTAATGTAGCATATGACCATGTGGATTTTTATTACTCCGTCCGAGAGAAGGTGATAAACATCACTTGAAGCTTGGAGGAATAGTCAGGAGAATGGGGAGGATGAGGTAGCATCCTTGTGCCCTAGCCTCCTTCCCCTCTCCACTCCCACGCCCACCTACCACTCCTGTGTCCTCCGCACAAATGAACGTACACAAGCTATTTTTGGACCGAATAGACGGAAGGATTTAATTTGCTTGATGATGATACCTAATGCGCTGTTTCACCACGTGCCTCATCGGAAAAAAGATCATATGTTGCTAATTCACTACCTCTGCTCTGACGTATATATGAGTCTAGCCCCTACTCTTACCCCATCCACATATTTATGCTGAGTCTGTTAACTCTCCTGCACAAGCGGTAATGTTATTTCCTTCTCTCCATCGCCTTTGAAAACCCGAGTTTTGACCTCTCTCAACTCAAAATGGTGATTGGTAGTGGTAAGGAGTGCGGAAAGTT